AAAGCTGATGACTGGTTGAAGACGTCGTACATACGGTCACGTTACTGTAACCAATTTCTGAAGATCTTGGGGTAGTTTACCCACAGCCTCCTGGGGTAGTTAGTTAGATAATGTGGCTGATTATATATTCTGGGCAATGTGTTGGTTGATGAATGTATAATTTCAACACTGAAGAACGAGACGTATTAGAATGAGTTTTTTCATAAGGAGTATATCAAAGAGAAAACTAAAAGCCCCTAAGGACAATTGGAAGCGACACAAACCAAATGTGCCATAAATCATTTCCCAAAAGTTGATATACGTGGTAATTCTGTAATTAGACGTTGCTCAATGCTTACAGCTGGTAAATGCGAGAGTTGAGATAATGGACGCGTGCGATTTCGTGCTAGAGATTGTTCGTACAACTGAAGTCCTCAACGCCATGCCAAATTTAGATTATCAGTCTTGCTCCGTGTAGAGTAATTTGATTGTGTAATTAAATTAATGCTCTAAAAAAACTAAATTTGTGCAAGTCGGATTTAACTGATATAATAATTGTTAGTTAGTAAATAAAATAGCTTCGATTTCGTCCAGTAACGCGTAGTTCTGATCTTCGACTAAGAGCGCTGCAGTACTGTCTTCAAGCCACATCCCTTTATAACAGTAGTAACGAATACATTCGCTTCCTGTCAGTAGGGTAATAGATGGAGAAATTGAAGGTTGTAACGATAAAAAAAGTTGCGTATACTAGTAAGTCATCTAACAGTTACTATTAACTTCCGTTTTGGTCTTTCTCTGATTGTTGTCAATTTTCAAGCCTTCTCATATTCATCCAAAAATTCATCACAATGAACACGGAAGTGTTTCTGCTTGGAAAATAATGCTATTTATAAAGACCGGGGGAAAAAATACACGTAACGAAGCGCCGATCTGGCTGTTTTCACAATAATCGTTTTTTATTAAAATTGTATTACAAAAGTTCTGCAACCATTACTAGTAATATCTCCCACTCAAACTTATAAACAGTTAATCTTATTATGCAATTGTACATGATCACACATTGTGCTTTCATACCTACAATTACAATGGAATTGTAATAGAAACTATTACCAGATCTATAGTAGGTAAGTGTTTACTAGAGTATTTACTCTCCTTCTCAAAACGTGTCAGGGGTTTTACATCGTTATCATAGATGGTATTCCATATAGAGTTGTCAGCATCATCCATTGCATTTTCCATCTTATGGATACAATAGACAAGAGACAGTGTACTTGGACGTGCGTCAGGATCAGCATCACAACACATGGCAGCAAGTTTCTTATATGCCTCTGGTGCTGAACCAGGCATTTCTGGTCGCAGTCCATTCACAATCTCATGTATCAAACGATATCAAACAATCTGTTTCTGAAAGGTGGTTCACCGCTGGCGATCAAATACGTGATAATACCAAATGCATATATGTCTGACTTTTGAGTGAATTTGCAAGTAAGGAAGACTTCTGGTGCAATAAAGGGTAAAACCCCTTTAACATCTGAAATTGACTTATATTCTTCCGAGCGAGCTAAACCGAGATCGCTTATAAATACTTTAGGCAGGTTTGGCTCACGTATATTTTCATCCAAGAGTATGTTGCCACCATGGAGATTGCGATGCACCAACCCAGGCTCATTAGTCAAATGCAGGGAAGAAGCAATTGCATGTACGAGCTCAACTTTCTTCTTCCAAGTCATTCTGGTTAAATTCTGATCCAAAGATCACCATGCTTAGCATGTCGCATTATAATCGCATATCCACTCTCCGGCTGTCGTGTAACTCCAAGAATTCCTAAAAAGTCTTCTTCAAATAAATTAAAATCAAGACACTTGACTAGATTTCTAATCTTTGAACAGGTAAATAAATTAATCAGATCAAGCATGATAATGGCATGATGTTATCAAAGGTTGCTGCTTACTTCGAAAATAAACAAGTCTGTCATCTCTTCAAAATTTTTAAACCGTTTGATGACAACAAGTTGTGGAATGTTTTCTGAAGCATTTTTGTATGAAGCAGTATGGACTGTTGTATAACCACCCGATCCAATCTCTTCGATTTCTTTTATGTCAGCACCTTGAATAATCTCTACACTTTTACCGAAGCGGGGATGCACATATTTCTCCAGTAGGCTGTCTATTTCGTGATAAAATATTAAATAATAGTCTCGAACAGTTGGTTCTTGGGTGATACCCAAAATCCAAATATTATCAAGTTTTGATAAAATCTCTGAGTAATCCTTGCTTAACTACATGAGTACCAACACAACAGTTAGGTCAAAAAACGCGCCTCAAACTTAATGACTATAACTTTGTTATTAGTTTACGCGTAAAAGTACTTTTACCTGATAGAAATCAAATGACCAAGCATGCTGTCCGTCAACTATCTTCTTCAGTATCACTCTTATCGATTTATTTGTTACCGGGTCTAAACAATCCGCCGCATGTGTGCATCCATGGCGTAATGATGGGATTTCGCGCACGTTCGTCAAGCGCGAATACTCTATCCAGTGCAGGTAGCTATCGTACAAATCACGTACATTACTCCATGATTTGGTTATAAATGAATCCAATGATTCGTTTCCTGTAGTCCAATCAAGGGGATTTGGTTTTCTGCATGAAAAACAGAATGCCTTTATCGTGGGCTCGAATGCCTTTCTACATGCTAGACATATCCCAACTTCATTTACATCTTT